AATATTTTGGAGCTAAATGGGACATAGTGACTTAGGAAAGTGTACATAGATCTTACGTCTTAATTTAAACTTAGTGAAGATAGAGAGTTTTCGCCGAGAGAGGACTTTACTTCTCAATTGCCCGTATAGTCCGAAGTAGTATCTGTTATCAAGAGATATTCTGCGTTGGATTTCGAGGTCGATGTTGTTGTGGGTATTGCTGGTATGCTGGTTTCAAGATAGAAGAAATTAACTACGACTTCGATGTTATAACTGTCAGTAGTGACGTGGGTGCCTAGTCGAGAATTTTACAACTGTTTGTTTGACGGCAGGAGATATTTCGTCTTGCCCTCGTTCACTACCAGACCCATTTGATTCACTTCCTTATCCATTCTGGAAAAAACAGAAGTAACGGTGCAGTTGTTACGACCAATGATATCAATATCATCGGTAAAGTCAGTTTACACAGCCGCATAAAGGCAGCTCCTTTTCGTGCTCTCAAAAGCAGCTTTCCGATGAAGAGGTGGTGTGTCGATTCTCTTTTCACAGGTATTTTCCAAGATTTGGCACATGGTGAATATCTGGCCAGTTCTTGATTCGCCAGGCCTAAATCCACACTGATAACTTCCAATAAGTTTATTGACTGTAGGCTTTAATCTTATACGTGATATTGAGGAGCATAATCTCACGGTAGTTGGCGTAGACTTTGGGCTCTCCCTTTTTGTGACTTGGGCAGAGCACACTTAATTTCCAATCTTAAGGCATGTTAGGCCCTTAGTCTACAAAGAAGCTGATGCATGCTCTTTATCATTTCTTCGCAGCCGTGTTTGAATGACTCGACCTGTAAACCATCGGCGCCGATTTGTTGTTTTTCAAGACGAGCAATTGCTATTCGAACATCGTTATCAGTTTGGGAATCGATTTCTCCTGACGTTATACTTTCACTGCTATTCAGCAGATTGGAGAAGTGTTCCCTCCATAATTTTAGTATGCTCTAGGCCTCTGTCGGTAGATCACCTCTGGGGGTTCTGCAAGAGTAAAAACGCACGTCTAAAACATTTGAGACGTGTTTTCCATCTATCACAACATAACAGATCTGGTTGGTGGCTTTTCGATCCGAGCACAGCCAGGTGCAAAAGTAACTTAAGTGGGCATACTTCCCTTACATTACAATTTTATATATGTAACTACTAGCTGACCCCGTTATTCTGCGTGAAATTATGTACTTTGAAATGAAAAGAAAGTTAAATTTATCATTTAATTTTTTCCAATGTAACGCAGCTTGTTAAACAACATTTTTAGGTTTCTGTTCCGGTGTACAGAAAATATGGTTATCCATTTCGTGAGCATGCCACCTACGGATATAACTGGCCATGTGAAAAACATATGATAGCATTTCCAAATTTCTGCCACACTCTATGCGACCATCCTTGTGTCCTGTTGATTGTCATCTCAAATGCAATGTTTACTGGAAACGGAATACTTGAACTAAAATGGCAAATCGTTAAAACTCAAAGGAATTCGTAGAATCAAGCAGTCAGATTCAATTATACAGTTTCGGCGCAAGAAGATTGCTAAACATAATAACGACAGACTCAACTTTGAAACGCAAATAATGCGGTGGCATACCAAGCCTCTCCAAAGAATTTCAGAAATTCCACTGGATAATTCACGGCGTCGTCTTCGTTGTTAAGACGAGCGATCGATTTGTATGAGCGCAAGTCTCCCGGAATTTGCCTTTCATCTTTCGTGAATTGATTGCTTTCGCAGTGTATGCCAATATGTATGCCTTTGCGTTTTGCCGTCGGCATTTCCATATTGACATGTAAAAATAATTATGATATGAGTATAATTTTGTATGAATGCATGCATAGTACTATTTACAGTAAATTTTCACTTGAATATTCAATAATTTTATTTGATTTTTACATAATATACTATACTAATAGTAGTAATAAAAATTGAATTTATCACAACAATAATAAATACATACATATATCGGCTATGATATTAATTTTATTATTTGCTCATATGTATACGCATGTGCGCGTTCAAAAAATCAAATCATGGTTTTATCACTTATACATATTACATGTGCGCGCATTAATCTGCTTGTTCATACATTCATATATACTTATATGTACATACATATATTTGTATACACTTCCGAACAAATCATACATAAGCATGCATACATACATACATATGCGTACAAATGTGAATATGTAACCAACAAAAAATTGAAGCATTGTTCTACAAAAACAACAATTGCTCAAATAGCAGAAGCATCAAAATCCAATTTGCCAGCCGAATTAGCGAAGCTCAAATGTACTAAATTAAGACCCCGAATGAGCCTCACAATTTCATTCCGCGTCAGTGAGGTCCGAAAGCACAAAAACAAAATTAAGTGTTGACCTTCTTCTCAAATTTCATTAAATGAACTTTTGATGGTAGGTCCAACCATCCAAGAAGAGTTATACTCAACTCTTCTTCGTTTTCGCTTACATAAGTATGCACTAATAGAGGACATTACTAAAATGTACCGCCAAATAATTATGCATGAATAAGACAGAAACTATCAGATCATTTGGTGYAGAGAGCATCCCTCAGAGCAAATTCAGAATTTTCTACTTAACACCGTCACTTACTGCCCATATCTTGCAACTGAGTGTTTAAAAATGTTCAGCAATGCTAATACAACTAAATACCATCTCGTTTCATTGACCATTAAAAAAGACTTTTGTGTTAATGATTTATTAACAGGATATGAAAGTTTTGAGTCTCTAGATTTTATAAGAAGTGAAGTAATTAAAATATTAAACATGGCCGAATTCATCTTAACGAAGTGGTTTTTGAACCACCCTAAAATTTTTCGACAGTAATTGCACTGAAAAGTCATTAAGTCTCAACGAAAAACTCAACTAAAACACTAGGAATCCGAAAGGCTTCCGAAAGAAGATTTGCTCGATTTGTTTTGTATGCCAATTTTAATGATTTAGCTCGCAGACGAAACATACTGTCAGCATATGCCCGAATTTTCGATCCTCTTGGATTATTAGCCCCACTAGTTACCAAAGCAAACATCTTATTGAAAGAGCTTTAGATCCGAAAACTAGATTGGGATGAGTTTCCATTGCATCTGGACACTTGCTGGCAAAATTTCTAAACCAATCTACTGCAGCAGTCATCAATTCCTCGGTACGTAAAAGAGAGCTATCCTGAATACATGTCATCTCTGACGCTTCAATAAAAGTGTACGAATGCTGCATATACAGACATACAAAGCCAATATGCTAGTGGTGTCAAATGTACGCTACATCTAGAGTAGTTTCACTGATGACCACGTCTCTTCCGCATCTCGAGCTCTCGGCAGCACATCTTGTTGCCAAATTATGGTCACGAATTGCGCCAATGTTGAATCGACGATTCGAAAAAATATATTTTGGACAGACTCTGAAATCTTATTGCATTGGATAAAAACGCATCCATTGTAACTCCTTCATTTATTTCAAGTTCTTTTCTTCAGTTTTATCGATGGTTAAGAGTGATTAGTAACAAATATAACCGACCCTAAATAATAGCGAAATTGGAAAATTACTATCAAAAATTTCTCATGTTCATAGATTTTGTATGGTGCTTACCTAAATAAATGGCGGCAAAACCGATATTTGTAAAATTAGATTTTGACAGACTGTTAGGAAGTAGTTTTTTTTAATTTCTCCACGCGTGATTTTTAATACTTGTAGAAATAAATGTAAGTAAATTTTATCACATTCATAAATCAATTCGAGCAATATTTCAGATCGATAGCTGATAGGCTAATTCGCCTAGATACATAAGTAGACAGACGGACATGCCTAATTCAACTAAGCTCGTCGAGCTGATCACTTAGTTATGTATACGACTAACAATTCTCATAGTTTTATATATGAAAGCAAAAAACTTTTTCGTTAAATTTATCGCGTTTTTAGTACTAGATATACCGTACCGTTGTATGGGGAGTGATTGAGGTTACCCTTCGATTTTCCATTTTCACACAATCGATAGAAGTTCTTATAAGATTTAGACTCAGCAAATTTGCTGTTTGTTTCAAAGTTTTTGCCCATAGACGCCCATTTTCTACTGCGATCCTCTGTGACAAATTAGAGTTTTACTCATATATTTATGCATAGTTTTCGGTTATTGGCGTTTGTTTTGGGCATGTCAGTGGAAATAAGTTAGTGACATTTTATTAATCAAAAATATTAAAAATTAAAATCAAAGCACATTAAGATATAGACAAATCAATTGAAAGATAGTGAGCTATACAAAATTTTTCATTTAATTTTTTTCATTTCATTTCATTTACACTATAACTAAAATTAATATTTTTTTTTTAACACGAAGATTAGTCGGTGCATCAAGTGAAAAACAATAAAATCGCCCGCTTTTGTATAGCACAGAAAACCTAATTTGTGTTTTACCCATTAAACGTAATAAATTAAAAACTATAATTATAATTAGATAATATAATTTAGTTTACTTAGGCTTACTAAAAACATAAAAAAATTAAGTTGAAGAAAATCCCGAGCGAACGAAAAAGTCCGAAAAAAATTTAAGAAATTATAGTGGTAAGGTTTGCGTGTCCACGAGTGTATGTAAATAACCCTACATCTATACCTACACCTTTTAGGTAATACGTTAGGTGAACAAAACTATTATACTCTGTAGCAAAAGGTTGCAAGAATATAAAAAAACATGGTAATTTTCAATGATCGATATGAGGATTCGGCAGAAAAGTTTTTCAAATGATATATATGACTGAAATTGGGAAACTACAATAGAAATTTCCAAAAATTTGTTAATGTTAATCATTGTAAAACAAGTACTTCCTAAGTACATAAAAAGCGATTCGCTCATTAAATTTATGACTATTTATATTCAGTAATAATAATTATTGTTCGTTTTTAACCATTTGTAGACTTAATCCAATCACAGTTGGAGTGCGTTCATCAGGCATCCAATTATAAAATTCTGCTTACCAACCAAAAAGTCACCATCGCTATTATAAAAAGCGATTTTCTCCATGGAAGTAGTGCAACTGTAAATATGTATTGCTATGCCATGATGACTATGTTCACCCCCTGAACCGCATATCGTGTGTAAACCTTCGACAAAATTTACGTCGTCTAACGGCATATCAAAAGGCTTCCAACGCATCTGTAATACACACATTATTTTTAATAATCAAATTTTCTAGGTTAATTAAACTTAATATATTCAAAATTTACATAACATTCTAATAACTTAAAAATTAACTAGCAAAATATATTCACAAAAATTACAAAAGTTTTCATAAGTAACTAAAATAAAAATGTTACGATTTAATTGATTTCAAATTTGACGTGTATTGTATTTTAAGCGTATGACAAGATTTCGAGATATCAGATATTTTTAGAATTTACTCTCCCTACAAAAAAAATATTTTCTATTAGAACCGCTCTTCTAAATCGAGGACAATAAATAAGCACTTTTTAAATGTTTTCTGGATTTTACCTTATTTAAAAAGTTTATGATAGTAAGTTTTCTTACCTGATTGGGATTTGGAAGTTGTTCATTCCAATTGTTATTTAGTCCCGTTTTACCAATAAAAGGTTTAAACGGTTCGTGCAATACACTAGGACGTATTCTGTATAACCACGATCTTAAATTTTCCTTACGAGGAGCAGTAAAAGCAGTTCCTGATATTTGTTCCGCATATAAACCATAAGGACAGTTCTGTGGAGAGTTTTGACCTAAGGGTAAAGAGCCAGAGCATCTTTTATCTTCTGACGAAAAGTAAGATCCAAACCCATTCATGTACTAGAAAGAAAAGTTTTTCGAAAAATTAATAAATTCATATATGTAGGCTTTATACTGTAAAAATAAGTTGAACATGTTATAAATCTCTATAAGGGCTATACAGTCATTTTGCGACTGTGATATTGTATATTGTTTCTAGCTAATTCTGAGTTGTAAAACCGAAAATGATAATAAAAATTTCCTAATAAAAGTCATAACTCTTTAATTTTTTTATGATTTTTCAAGGCATGTAGGGGTTAAACCACCACACCGCAATGTAAAGCGGCCTTTTTGTAAGTACAACTGTAAACGCGTTTCAACTTTGGTATCGATCTGCTGATTACCAAACAAGTTTTGCGTTCCAAGGTTGTTAATATGTGCAAGAGATAAAAAAATTCTTGCGCGAACTCATACGCGGAATGTCGTATCAGCTTAGGTCTAATATATTTTTGCTGTTCTGCATACGACCACAAAAATATTTAATGTGAAGCAGCAACTTTCAACGGCAAAATATAAATATGCTGCAGAGAAGCGAAACCCATAATAATTACAAACTCTTCTGACGAAATAGCAGCCACAAGTTAGAAACACATTTGCTATAGATTTTTGTGAAAGGTTCATCGAAGCGAATATAACGTAAGACACAATTAGCAATCCAAGAACGCAGAGCTTTAAAAGCTGGCCGCTGTTTTCGACAAGCTTTTTACGCATTGTTGACATTCTGCGCATCGTACATTTTCGGATACGTACACGTGTTGACATTTAAAAATCTTCTTGTATTCTTTCACTCCATAAGTGTATTGCAGATAAGTGCATCAAGTGTGAAAATTTGTTTAATATGGCCCCCGGGCCGCCCAACCTTGGGGATAACAGGTTTACATTGCTTGCCCCTGGATCCCAGCCAAAAAGAAAGAAACCCACCTACTCCCCCCTCAACTTTTCTGACCTGCCGCAGGCCAAGAAAGAAAACCCGAACTATTTCATTAATGCAACGGACTCAAACAAGCCAATTTCGAAGTATTCTTGCTTCGCTGTCCACAAAGCCTTAGAAGCTATTAGCAAAGAAATCATCTAAATTTCTGAGTTGCATGCTGGCAATCTTCTGCTGCTGGTAAAAAATAACCAAATTGCCCAAAAGTTTATTTCAGCGAAAAAACTTCCTGGTGTATGTGAAATTGAAGCGAAATACCATGACAACCTCAATAGCGTGAAAGGTACAATCTTTGCTSCCTGTCTCAACAATGTCAGCGAGAAAGAGGTAAACGAAAACATGAAAAGACAAGGTGTAGTCGATGTTTACAAATTTACTAGGCGGACGGAGGGAGTACCACTACCCCAACCCACGTTTTACTTACTTTTGATCTTTTTGAGTTACCTGAAAAGGTAGAAGTATCTTGGTGAAGTGCAAAAGTAAAACCCTATTACCCCAACCCAATGCGATGCAAATCTTGCCAACTGCTTGGGCATACCGCTAAACGATGCAATAAACCTCCCGTGTGTGCTTCTTGCAGTCTTCCTATTCATTCTTTACCTTGCACGCGCACACTATGTGCAAACTGCTCAGGAGATCGCCCATCCTCTGCCAACACTTGCCCAAAATATGTGCAAACGAAGGAGATACTAAWAATAAAATGTCAAAATAAATGCTCCATGAGAGAAGCAATTAAACTCTAGAAAGCACAATCACCATCAATATTGAACACTTCTTTCGCCGTAGTTGCCAGAGAAGCACAGCTGTCAAATAGTAACGTTAAGTCAACCTCCAATTCTCTTGATATACSAACACATTTTTTAGTCAACAAATCACCCATTACGACTTCACGCGATCTTTCTTCCAACAACTCACCACCGGAAAACTCACCTCAAAACATCAGCAATCAACAAGTCAGCAATAGCTCAGCCTCCACTTTCACTCCTGTTCCACAGTCTTTCAAACACACACAACTAAACCTCGAATCAACTCTCGCCAACATTATCGTTCATCCAACTCCTATCAATATAACGCAGGTTCACCTGCATTCTCAACAGAGACAACTGATACCTCCGTTATCAATCTCTGTCTCACGCAAAACAATTCAGATGACAAAGCCATCAACAATGCTCTGATCATGTCAGTAGACGATCACTAAGTATCCACCACTCTCAACATAGCATACAAACACCTCCTTAGCAATCTCTTCTAGCAATAATGTTTAATATCCTACAGTGGAATATGCACGGATACTACAACAACTTTCACGAATTGGATATACTAATTAAAGAATACGCTCCAAGTTTTATTTCCCTTCAGGAAACTAACCTTGCTGCGGGCAAGTCTGCGGCGGCGCCTAATCAATACCAAAGTTACTTTTACAACTTGCCTCAAAATCAAACTAGCAAGCAAGGCATCGCCATTTTAATTAAGAAGTCCATACCACACAAACAAATCCCTATATCTTCAAATATAGAAACAATAGCAATAGAAATCTCATTATCTTTCCAATTTCAATTATTCACTTTATATACCACCTTCACAAAATTTTTCTGGCAGCGACTTAGTAAATATTTTTCGGACGATATCCACAAATATCAGGGGTTCTATGATTGAAGACTTAATCTTCTCTGAAAACCTTATTATACTGAATGATAACAAACCAACACACTTTTCCACACAAAAAACATTCACCACTGTAGACCTTACAATCTGTTCCTCTAACATTGCACCTAAATTAACGACAAACACCCTTTCCCATCTGCATGGCAGTGATCATTACCCTATCTTTACATCCCTTTCCACTCCTTTCACTTCTAAAAGCCCACAGAAGCCAAGGTTTATTATAGGAAAAGCTAACTAGGACATGTTTGGAACGACTGCTTCCAGACTTTGCGCGGACCGTCCTTGCACTCCCAATATCAGCAGGGAAGCTGCCACAATTACAAAAACCATTCGCATATCAGCCCATCTGTCTATTCCACAAACCAATCCCAAAGTTCATAAAAAGATCGGGCCCCACTGGTCCTCTGAACTGTCTCAATTACGAAACGAAAAAAGATTTCTTTGGACGGAGCATAAGCGAACAAGGTCAAATTTAAATTTAATGCTATACAAAAAGGCAAATGCGATCTTTAGGAAAAAACTCAAACAACTCAAAAGGGAGTGCTTAAACAAGTTCTCCGAGTCCATTAATCATCAAACAAATCCAAAAAAAGCATGGTCCGATATTAAACGACTTTCTGGCACTAATCCTCAATCGCATATTACTTCAATTAATAGAGCACATGGCCCTATCGTTGACCACAAGCAAGTAGCGAATCACTTCGCAAAGTACTGGTCCAATTATTCACACGATTCAAATTTCCACCCTACTTTCCTTTCAGAGAAGAACAAATGCCTCAACAGTAGTTCCAAGAGTCGCCCTACAACTCCTGGCATAACCGACTGCAAGATCAATAACGTTGAATTCGAATCAACTCTATCTTCTCTAAGTGGGAGAACCCCCGGGGCTGACAGAATATCATATAATATGTTTCAACACTTACCCCCATGTATGAGTACAATATTGTTAATATTATATAACAACATCTTAAGCCAAGGTACGTTTCCTTAGGCTTGGAAGCACGCAGTTGTTGTCCCCATTCCAAAAATTATATTCATGGCATGCCTTAACCAAAAATTCCATGAGCCCTCAGCAATTGGCTTACAATGACGGGCAAAGCACCTGCATCTTCAGCCTTAGCAAACAGAAACCACCTCTMTGCACTTAGCATTGACCTCGAAAAGGCCTCCGATCGGGTTGGAGTCCACGTTGTACTACGGCAACTCGAAAAATGGGGCATTGGGTGCCATATTCTAAGACTCATTCAGTCATTTCTCACAAATCGAAGATTCGTCTGCAAAGTCAACAACACATTGTCAGACCCGTTTACTCTCCATAACGGAATACCCCAGGGGTCTCCCTTCTCTGTATCCCTTTTTATCGCTGCTTTTAATGAAGTAAGCCATATAATTAATAAATATATAAATATTGATCATATCTGCTATGCTGATGATGTGTTGATTTTCGGTAAACTGAAAGATTTAAATATTGCTAAACGGGACTTCACAAATATTCTTAGGGATCTCAATATATGGTCCGAATCTTCGGGCGCCAATGTCGCTGTAAATAAATGCAAAAATTTCCACATTTGTCGCAAGCACTTCCAAAATCGCCCACCAAATTCGTCCTAGTGGAAGCCGGCTTACCCACAATCGAAGAGAGATTCGAACTTAATTTAATGAAACTTATACCTAAGCTTTTTACATGTCACAACAGTACTCTTTACGAAACAGTAAAATCGGACCTCCAAAGGGAAATTAATCCTGGACGCAAATCGACAATTTCAACTCGCCAGAAAGCTTGGAATCACCATGCCATCACTACGGCAGAGAGAAGTATTTCCTACCTGGCAGATAAAGCATACATCGTACATTTTAAGCTTGGAGAAATTCAACAAAAGTCACACCAATCTCGCCATTTATCAACAACTCTTTGCTGAGTCTACAACTCCTCTTCTCCCTGAATGGACTCTAATCTTCACGGACGGATCCAAAACCGAGACAAGTACATCATTCGCAGTTGTCGACGACAAAGGAGCACCAATTAAGGTTGGAATCCTGCCAAGCTACGCCTCCGATAACACAGCAGAAGCCGCAGCGATCCTCAACGCTATTATTTTCGCTTCAAATTCCAAATTGAAAGCAATTATTTGTACAGATAGCAAATCAACTATATCAGCGGTCTTAAATGTTATGAATAAATCTAACATCATTTCTTGCATCCGGAGCAAATTAGCTGAAAACAGCGCCAACATAAAACTAATGTGGATTCCAGGCCAAGCCGGCATACGCGGGAATGAACTGGCAGATAAACGCGCTAAACTAGCGGCTAGTGAACCGCTCGTTACGTTTGACTTTCTTTGAGAATAAAGACTTATATAAGATGGCACACCAACACAACCAAGACACATCCAGCACCAATACACTTAAATAACCCAGATAGGAG